ATCTAGCCACCAAGGTACAGAAGTGGACCCGTGCGCACGATAAAAAGCTGCTACGGCTCATTCAGTACATTCAGCACTCACTAGAATATAGACTAACCGCCGTCTGCGGCGATGATGCTAGTTAGCTGTGGCTAGAACTTTTCGTGGACGCTGACTTTGGTGGGGACCAACATGACGTGAAGTCGACCTCAGGGGGGTACTTAGTACTTAAGGGCCCTAACACCCACTATCCACTAGCATGGGTGTCGAAACGGCAGACCTCCACGTCAAGATCCACTACAGAATCGGAAGTAGTAAGCTTGGCCTAATCGCTGTATCAAGAAGGACTACCTTCGCTACAGCTATGGGATAAACTTCTTGGACGGGACGTTAACCTCGTCATACAGGAGGATAACCAAGCCACGATTCTAGTAGTAAGGAAGGGCTTTTCCCCTAAGCTACGACACATCAGCCGAACACATAAGATAAACCTCAGTTCCTTAAAGGAATGCATCGACGACCCATCTGTCGAAATTAAGTACATCGATACGAATGAACAAGCTGCGGACATTTTCACCAAAGCATTGCCACCACAAAAGTGGTTCAAAGCGCTATGCTTGCTTGGCATCCGTACAGATTTAAAGTGCTTAGTCCCATCTAAGACAGATAGGAGCCTTCCGAGCAGTTCGGAGCCTTCGTAGGTCGTCGAAACCGCTGCCACCCGGCGCGGTAATTCGTGCATGTACAAAGGAATGCTGCCCCAAAACGGGGAGGGGGGAGTCATTTTCTGTGAACCCCTAGTATGTAACAGCATTCACTACATGTCTACTAGTAGCTACGGTTCACACACCACATGTACAATACATGTGCCGACCGTGGCTCATGGCTCAAGGAAAATTGTGCGCCCGCGCAGTTTTCCTTCAGGGTGCCGGGTTCGTTGGCCGGTGGCCGACTTCCCTTTCGCTTTCGCTTTGCATCCTTTCGTGCCTACCGTTCGTTCGCTCGTCGCCGTACGTCGTTCGTTCGGTTCCACTTGCCATCACGGGGTCCCGTCCTTCCGACGCTCCTCGTACACCCATTAATATAGATCGTGCATCCAGGGATCTAGCCTACTTCTTTTACCACCTCCCGGTTGAAAGAATTGCTTGGGCGTTTCCCTACGCCCCACCTGGTTTGTACACTCAATTAATAGCTACTATATGATTTATTGATAATGGTGTGATGTGTACATAATTATATAATTGTATATGTGTGTATATTTATGTTTGTACTTTAGATTTAGGTGCATGTCATGCACTTAAATGTTTGAAAGCAGGCACCTCTGGGTTGACATATGCTCTTCCAAGCCTATAGTTTGGTCCGAGTGATGGGGCCTACCCTTCTGAGACAAACCTTTGGGATCCTGGTTGGGGTCACCACTTTCAACAAGCCCTTCGCGTGCAGCGCCGAAGGGAGGTAGTTTGTTGTGTTTTGTTTTTTTCATCTTCCAGTGGCTGTTGTGCACGTGAACAGCGTTTTTCTCATGTTTTGACCTATTCATTCGGGTTCTTTGAGCCACTTCCTAATTCTCAGAGTCTAGAGTCTTGCCTTGACATATGCACTCACACACGCAAACATGCTGTAATTGTACTGTGGGATTTGTTGGGTGACGCTCCTCCACTATCTCACAACAATGCAGTAGATTCGTAGATATTTTACCCATCAGACATCAGACATGAAATCTGCCAGGAAGAATGAGAAGTCACAGAGGCGAGGCGCAGATCTGGTTCCCCAGGTGGAGGATCAAACTGGCGCCTGAAAAGATTGGGCAGAGCGTCCTTTGTGGGCGTTGCCAACAGCTTGCTTCCATTTGTTGTCCTAACAAGGGCAGCTGAAAAGGATTGTCACAATGAGCACCAACCAGTTCTACTGTTGTCCGTTGAAGCCTGCGGAACGCAAGTGTTGAGTGTGAATGCAAGAAGAGATAGGCCCAAGGTCCAGAAAACTTCATGAATAATTGGCATCCTGCACCCAACATTGACCTTGCAGCTTCTCAAGTGTAGGGGAGAGGACCCGGAAACTTTTTTGTGTCTCTCTTTGCGTCAGCGCTAAAGTTCGCAAGCAAAATTGTCGTGTAAACCTGTGTCACATGTCCCAAGAGCATGTTTTCTTCAAACTGCCTTTTGTTTGTCCATTTCGCTTGGTCAGGCCCAAGAAAGAACCTAGTTTATCGAAAGGCAGGGAGTTGCCTTCTGTGAAAAGGGGAAGTAGATGGATGAATCCCACATCGTTGGGACATGGCCTGGTAGGAATTGGGCTTGTGATGTTGACGTCGAAGGTCACTTGTCATTGCCATGTGCAACTGCAAAGGCAAAGTGGGCACGGTGATAGCTCTCATAGCGTGTTGTCTCTCATGGCTCTCATGCCTACTTTCACAACGCCTGAAGTCCCATAAGTTCAAGATGTTCCTGTTCTAGGCCACTGAACTGCGGCAATGATGCTGTCCCAGCCACCTTCGACTTTCCTTCAAGCTTTTTAAGGATGTCAACCTGGGCAAGAGCACGTTGTTGTTATATGACATGTTCAAGTAGAGGTGCACCCGAAACCGCTTGAACCATCTTGAGCCGCAGAAGTGCTTGCATGTTTTCCAAGCTTCAGCATGTCAAAACCCTCTGAATTCAGACGCCCTTCCCTATCGCAGAGAGTCAAACACGCACACAAAGAGAGCTCACACAAGCAGGTCCCATGGCCCCTGCTCCCTTCTCACTGGCCGCCCGATCATCCGCAGGCAAAGAGCTTGCCGAAGCATCCAAAGTCAAGGGACCGGAGAAGAAGCGGAGAGGTGGGATGGATTTGTCGCATGTGGTTTGTTGTACTGCGAACCACATGGATGGGTCAACAGCAACCGCAGCAAGAATAACAACGAGGGCAGGTTTCCTTTGGTGATATTTGTGGGCTGTTTGTTTGTGATCCCCCTTGCTGAGTCATTCTGAGCTGTTCAGCTCTCCTGGATGTTGGATGTTCAATAACGTTCAATCAACCTAATGGGGGTTTCATGCTCGCTTTGTAGTCTGACGGCAGGAATTACGAGGACGCCAAGCTGACCCCTACAAAGAGCCTGTACTTTTTTTCCGCAAGCACGTGTATGCTCAAAGATGATCCAAGGGCATGCATGCACCTTGAATGATTCGATCATGTTTCTGTGCTTGACCCGTTTGAGACACGGTTTCTGCTTGAATGAGGCCGTGGTCGCAGCGCCAGCATAAGCCGATCACCCTCCCTTCGTCCTCAGTCGCCCTCGTCCGGGAACCCAGGTGTTCTCAGTGGGAGGAGCATCCAGGAATTTGTCAACGTCCAGTTCTTGGATTTTGGATAAAGAAAGCCACCACTAGTGCCGGTGTTGATTCACAATAGCCTCAGTTGGACTTGATCTTTGGCCTAAGCAAATGCTTGGCGATATGCAATCAGAATTTAGGATGGTAATGAATGGTATTGCAGCACCTTTACTGTAATTAGTGGCCACATGTGGCCACACTATTATAACCAGGTAGTCAAATGATTCAATGTACTGTAGTTAGTACTGCCACCAGATTTGGGAGACCTTTGTCACCACCCAAATTCACAGGTCTGTCCTGATTGTCTTTTTCTTATTGGACCTTACCCCCTGACCCCAAAGAACTGAGTTGCCCTCATCGACGAAAACAAAATAGCCAGGTTGAAACCGTCGCAGCCGAAAGCGAAGAGGCGCACGGCCCGGCGCCGGATCTCGGGGTCCGTCTTCATGGCCAGAGGGCACACTGGCCCCAAACGAATCATGGCATGCATTGGAATATGTTATATATATATATATTATATATTATACATTTTGGAATGCATTGGAATCGCAATTGGTTTCAATATGTTTCACGGGCCCTGATGTTGGATGACCCCGATTTGCGACTACCGGGTAGAGGGGGGTGCCATTGTGCCATACGCTTCCATGATTTCAGGGAGTGTACCTCGCAGCTTGATGCTGCCAGAGCGAGACTATAGTCATGAGAAAGAGGAGCTGCAATTGCAAGAGGAAATGGGAGGTGGACCATGTTTTATCGAATGCTTCGGAGAGGGTTGCGCAAGACCCCACTGAGTAAATACTTGGGTCTATGACTTACCAGGTAGCTGGGACTCGGGACTGACTCCTGAGCATTTGGCCCATCAGTGACATCAGTTGGCCTTTCCCTGGCCATTTTGGTGGTTTCTTGCACCTGCCAGGCGGAAACGTCAGAAGAGCTGATGGCGAAACCGCCGTCGTTTGTCGCGCATGCGATGATCATCGGCGCGCATGCGCTGATGGAAAGGGCGGAGCTGCATATTTGTGCAGGGAGGGCTAATTTTTCCGCGGGGAGGGCTAATTTGTTCTAGGGTGGGCCAGGTGGGGGCTCGGAAATTCGATTGAATACAACAAGTATGGCAAAGAACGTACCAAGCCCACACAAGCAACCAAAACTCGAAACAAGACACCACAACCAAATTTGTTATTTGACAAAACCAGTTTGTTGTTCCAAGCTCCATGTGCAATTTCCCATGCAGCGCAGAGCCGTGCGCACGCAGAAATCAGCAGTTGTTTGGTGCTTTATTTAGATATCGCAAGAGTTTGGCGAGCTTTTATCAATTGTCAGGGACTTTGCGACATGTGTTCACTTGTTGAAATGGCTCGCAAGTATAGACCTAGGGAGAGCTAGGGAACCCAGGGGAACATAAATTCCCCTCTTTAATTCCATTTCACGGAGCGCTTTAAACTCTACCCTATTCTCGAGCTGCAACTGTAGCCATTTACGACGTAGGGCCATATATAAGGATGCGCATGGAGGATGGGCCAAGACTCAAACAGAGAGAGAGTTTGTCACAGATGCCCGCAGAAAACCGTGGCAAGGTATGTTCCTTCCTCTATAAACATAGAAGTATACTGGTATACTATGGTATACATATCTTGGACTCTACACATTTCTACACCTAATATTCATTTTCGGCATTCCACTAGAGCATGCAGACAAATTTTTGGATTTTTGTTCAAGCTTTGGCACTTCCTGTGCCAGCCATGCCACGATCGCTCTTGGGAAAATGCGTGCGTATTGAGAACGGTGGTGATCACACTTTGGCGCTGGTCGTGGCCCAACGATGGGACGACTGCGTGCAGGTGGCTGGCTGTGTCTTGGATACAATGCTTCGGATAGCGATGCGTCCGCTTTCGATTTCGTGTTGCTCCCAATTCTAAGGTGGTGCGGAGTGGAAGAAGGACTTGCCTTGGTTGAAGCCGAGTCGCTATCAGATAGCCCCTTGGAAACAACCACGAGAAGATGTGAGGAGCATACCGGCATGTTCGTGTGGCTGTCCTGCAGGTCCTGCTTTCGTGCTAACGCTGTTTCGTTTGCTCCAGCTTCTTCTTCTCCCAGGTTGCTCCGTGCCGTCCTTCCACTTCTCTCCCGTCAAGTTCTCGTTCTTCAAGCTGGTCGCGGAGCTGGAGCCGAACGTGCAGCCCAGCTCAGGCAGCGGCAGGGCGAAAACTGACTGGGATGAGGGCAGCAGGAGGAAATGGCCAAAGGCTAGATGCATTGGTTAGTACTTAGTACCATAGGTCTACCAGCAAGTTTCACTATTTCAGGCTTGCGAAGTCTTGCCATCGCCGGATCAGTTCCGTTGAGTAACCTTCAACGAAGTACCGGACCCAGCTGCGCCGGCTAAAGCAGGATCACTCGGTCGAGGGCCTTGCTAAGACTTGGTTTTAAGGATGGCCAATCATGCTTCGATACCTTTGGGAAGGTGACGCCGACGCGGTTTATTGTAACTACGTATGAATTATGATATGAGAATGCGGCCTCTCTTGACATTGATTTAAGATGATTTGAGCAATATTCAAGTGAATGAAACATGAATCCGGATCTACTAAGAGTGCAGGTTCCTAGTTAAATTTGGACATCCAATGGGCACCTTGCTGCAGGAAAACCTAGCCGCTAGGTGTCTCTTTTGATGACGCATCTACCCAGATGTGTGTGAATTTATGGTGTGGTGCTGTGAGTCGACATGGCGTTTTCGACCTCGGAGCTGCGGTCAGGACATGTTGTTTTTTCAGATGGGGAACAGGACTGGATCACACTGGATCCAATATGAATCTTAATCCCCGATTTCTTATAAGGTGAAAACAGGGAGGTTAGTTTCGAGCCTCGGTCCAGTCCAGTCAATTTCATGTCCCACTACACAAATCCAGTCCAACTCTTCTATACAAGGGCATCAGGGAAAGGGATTGAAGTTGTGACATAATATTTATATAGTAGAAATATGTGGAACTTGAACTTAATTTATTGGCCTCGCCGCCTCGCACCAATGCAGATGATCACTACATGCTACTACATGCACCTGTTTGTGAAGGGTGCATCTCCCTTTCATCACGTCTATATAAAGCATGCTAAAGCCACTTCTTGGAAATGAGAGAAGTGCTTGGTTGGTCCCTTCGTGACCCACTCGGATTTCATTGGCCTCGCCGGCTCCGCAGGCTCCGCGCCTGCGCCTTCGCCCGAAGCGTCGGAGTCGAAGGCAGAGCCGAAAGCGGCACAACCCGTCGCAGGCCGGAACGCATCGGTGAGGAGCGGGTGTTTGAACGGCCTCACGTATAGTACAGGGTTTGAGATCATGGCAGAGAAGGTGCAGAGAAGCTGCAACCAACTCAAGATGGTTAGAATATGTTAGAAGTTAGAATCCTTCTCCAGTGGTGAGGAAATGGTGGAATGCTCGCCCCCAAAATTCCTCTCCGCCACTGTTCATCCAAGCTGTCCAGGGAGAAGCTGGCCCAACGCGTCGATCTCGCCGGAGCCGCACGCGCGGGCGGCAGCGCAGCCGCGCTGAGGCCATGCGTGCAACTGGGTAAGCAGTGACAGTACTGGGAGGGCCAAAATGGCATAAAGCCTCCTCGTTACCAGCAGAGTTTTACATCTCAATTTGGGGTGCCTTAGTAATTGTTCTCAGCTGTCAACCGTCTACATTGGTAGGGTCACCAATTGTTCTGCTGTTGCACACCCCGATCTCACTTAGGACTCAGGAGGGTTTCATGTGGAAGGTGCTGTCACTAAAGGTTGGGTGCTGCCCAAAGTGCGGTGGAAACACAGAGGTTCAGAGGTTTACCCAGTGCGCGTTGACCACCACCGCCCTTTGGGGCCCAAACATGAGCAACATTGACGACGTACGCCGTGGGAGGCGTACGTAGACTCGACATCACCGTGCTATTGAACGGCTCGACCAGCCAACAAAAGTTAAGTACAGCTTATCCATCCCCAAGCCACAGCCACGCTTGCTGACCTCAATCCTTGCTCAGGCGGATGACCCATTGGGCGAGCCGGAGCCAGCAAAAAAAACACAAAGAACAACACAGTGGCCTAGCTTCTGAATGACCAGACCTGATCATAGACCTGATCAGACTTGTAGATGATGTGGATTGCTCCTCAATTTTGGATGTTTCAATTGGTTCTGTGGCACGATGTGGCATGTGGCACTTCATTTATGAAGTTCAGCAACGGATGCGTGGGACTGTTTCATATGTGGGTCAACATGTCACCAGTGATACCAGGATGTTGGGATCAGGGGTGTCCTTCATCCACCCCTTAGTGGAGATCAGGTGCCTCCCCATCAACTGCCCTCGTAGCATGGAGGTTGCACTTGTTCTTCGCGACACCCTCGCTTTAAAAAAGGGGAACTGTTCAGGTCAAGAGGTGAAGAGCTGTTCGATTGAGATCGATTGAGTGCAGTTTGAGGTCTGGTGATAAAGAGGAGAAAAAGCTTCCCGAATTCGACTTTGACAAGGACACTGGCAGCATTCAATTCTGAATCGATCCGCGCTGGTCCCACCCTCAGTCAACACAGAAATGTCAGCCTTAATTGCCGTTGAATTCTCCCGTCGCAGGCTCCGATCCCAGCTGCAGGTAACAAAAGCACGCAGCCTGATGCCATATTACCGGATCCTCCAGTAATTTGCGTCTAAGTCCTCTAACAAGGTGCGTTGATCATGCATACGCAGTTTGCACCCATAGAAACAGTTGACACAAAAGGACTGGAAGGATTGGAAGGACAAGTCTGTGGCCCTCCTGAACTTGAAGGAGTGGATCGACATCCCGCAGAATCCGACAGTACATGCGATGGAAAGGAAGTGGCCTACCATAGGCCCTATAGGGCGTGTTGAAAACAGGGTCCAATTACTGGACACATATTCCATAACATGGGTTCGTTGGAGATTTGGCAATCCGCTTCTTTTGCTTCACGTCAGCCATTTGTTTTGCAATCCGCCTGCTCTTTTGGTTTTCTTTGCGCATGATGCAATCTGGTCGGAACTGGCCAGTTTTCTGACTGTGTGAATTTGTTGACCGCCAGGGGTCGCATGTGCATCTTCCAACTTGGGCAGTGAGTCAAACTGACATGGCAGTTCCTCTTTCTTTTCCCGGTAATGATGGTTTGGTGCAAGAAGCACTCGGTCATCAGTCGGGGTCTCGTCACACGTGTTCAGGGTCGGGTCTCCGAAGAGATCCGGATCACGTCAGGCCGATGAGTCACTGAATGGACTCATGGCGACGGTGAAACGGTGGGATGGGCGTGGTTTTGTGGTCGGATGGGTCGGATAGCATGCGATTTAGGAGAGATGCACCAAGTTAACTAACACTAGTGGAGGAATCCTAATCCGTTCTGACAAGTTTTGTGCTTGGTCACTTGCTGTGTCTTTTGGACGCGGTGCTGTTGGTGTTGCTTTATATAATATGTTTTAATCACGACTCAGTGAGGTGCACAGTTAATCTGTACCGAGTAGCGAGGTGGGCTGCTCTCCTCGTGTGCATGGTCCCCGGTTCGACCCTGCTTTGTACCCCCGAGGCTCTTGTCCAACTACTCGAAGTGAGGCACAAAAGGTTGAAACTAGTGGGTTCAAGACCTACGTACTGTAGGTCCCAGAAAAATTGGATGAACTTGGCACGTCAGCTGGCGCCAGTCGGGAAGTTTTGTCCTGTCCTTCGACAAGGGGGAAGGAATTGATTGGGTAGATTTTCCATAATTCTACCTGTACTTGGGAATGGCCGTATGCTCCGATTCATGAACAGGGAAGTCAGAGACAATTTTTCCCCTATATTTCCCATACATGAACTGCCGCTGTCCTCTTCAACGTGATTGAATTGGGATGTAACTTGTTTTGGTAGGTTGGCTTCGCAGGGCATGTCGAGCCGTGTTGTCAGCGTCAGGTACAACAAAGAGACCAAACGTTTCGTGGTGACCGTTGAGGCAGCGAATCAACCGCGGTGACCGTGGGGAAACCAACACCCTTCCAAAGCAGCGAACTGCGAAGAATGGGATAAAGTCGAGTTCCGCAACTGCGCAGGATTCCGCAACTAGGATTCCGCAACTATTTGGTCGGATTCCGCAACTAGGATTCCGAAACTAGGATTCCGCAACTGTCAGGGTTCCGCAACTGGGATTCCGCAACTGGCGTTCCGCAACTAGGATTCCGTAACTAAGATTCCACAACTGGGATTCCGCAACTGGCGTTCCGCAACTAGGATTCCGTAACATTGTGGACCGTGGATTCCCTTGCTAGGATTCCGCAACTTTGTGAATGATGAGGGGGTTGGCGTGATGTCGAGACCACACGATGGGGACAAGGGGGGGTTGCGGGGGCGGGGTGGTTGGGTGGGGGGCTAATCACGTTGGTTTGGATGCGCTTCGAAGATGATGTCACAGGCACACACGCTATCGCATGATGTGGAGATCACTAGTTGCAGAATCCCAGTTTCAGAATACCAGTTGTAGAATCTGACTTTCCAGTCTCAGAATACAAGTTTCAGAACCCCAGTTTCAGAATCCTACTTTCAGAGCCCCAGTTTCAGAATACCAGTTTCAGAATCCAAGTTTCAGAACCCTAGTTTCAGAATCCTACTTTCAGAACCCAGTTTCAGAATGCCAGTTTCAGAATCCAAGTTTCAGAACCCTAGTTTCAGAACCCCAGTTTCAGAACCTAGTTTCAGAATCGGACCGATTACTTTCCAGCTCTAACCGCGAAGAATGTCTCCCTGGCTTTCAGGGGTGCCACTTTCACTTCAAACATCTTCCAACCCTGGCGACGAAGGGGGCCGACGACTGGGAAATGCTGTTTCTGGGAAGGTTGTTCCGACTACCACCCAGTGGTTTGCTGGATCTATACAAGCCTTCCCAGATTCCCAGATGTCAAAGCAATTTCACGTCATGGCCTGTGAAGGGAAAGGGTGGCATTGATGAAGCTCTCCTTTTCACGGGGAGTGTTGCCTGTCACTGCATTGCACGGTTGTATCCTTGGCATTCGGCCCGCACCATCCGTTGCCTGTTGGCTAACCATCGAAACGGATGATCCGAAGCCCTGGATGATCCGAAGCGCTTCCCATGTTCCCATTATAAACCTTCTTTCCGTTCTTTCCGTTCTTTCCTTTCCTCCTGACCGGAACTTCGGAACTCACCCTCTTCTCAATTGGAACACACCGAAACTCCAAGTGGGCGCCCTTGGCAGGGTGGCAGAGGCGACAAAAGCATCAAGATGGAGAATCTTTTCAAGGCCCCGCGCAGTGGCGCAGCGTCTCCCTGCAGGTTACACAAGGCAGTCGTAATTTGGGGTGCCCAGTGTGATATATAGACGTGAAAGTCTGGTAGCTTGCATGGGTTACGTCGGGTAGGTTACGTTTGACAGGGCTATTCTTCCGATCGGAGGCGGGGCGGCGCAATGAGGTGGTGACTGGCTGCCAAGTGAAGCTGCAGGGGCTTGACTCCAAGCTGAATGACCGAGCTGACATGCCCATGTGGGTGGGACAGAGTGGGCCATTCACTGAGGGGTTCGCCAGCGGCCGAATTCTGCTGGCGAAGTCTGTGGGAAGATTGGCAATTTGCTTAGAATGTTTTTTGAAGCACAAGAGCCGCCTTAAGGGTTGCACGCAGCTCAAGAAACGCTCTCACAAGAATATCAAGAATTCACAACATTTCACAACCAAGAGCTCAGCTCAGCCTACCATTCAGCTGCTGTGTTACATTCCAGCTGAATGGTCCAAACCAGATGAGATGCAATGACCAGGAGTGCTGTCTCGCCACAGCATTATGGTCAAGAAGTCTATAACTCGCCTCCGACTGCACAGATCACTTTCTGCATTTTGTTGCGGTGAACTAGTACGTACCGGTCTATTCTGGTATTTTTGGGGGCTGTTTAGATGTTGGTTGAACTACTGGCTGCCCAACCAAGTTTGGACCCCGCAGCCTGCTTTGGTGTGCAGAGACCCTCGACAGGACTGCATGGGCCAGTGTGGTCGCTTGGACGTCTGGCGCTAAGCCGCTAAGCTCCGCTGGCGCCAGCTGAAGACCAGATGAACCAGATTGGTGGGCAGAAAGAATGATAAGAGGTCCCCAACTATACCGGTCAAAGGGAGCATACAGTAGGCTCCATTGGTCAGCACCTTGAAGGTCTTGCCTTTTGGGGTGCTGAACCGCCAGGACAAGCAGAGTAGCATATCAGGACTGATGAAAAATCACAGGCACACATGCTTTCATACTGTCTACTGCTTCAAATGACCGGTCTTGGAGCCCTGTCTTGTGATGCCATGGACCTGAATGGCTTCCCAAACTTGCAGCGCCAGCCATGGGTCGTGTTTCCATGAGGGAACTCACGGGAGCTTAGACAGAACGACCCAGTCTGAGGTTAAGAGCTTGAGATACGACGCCACGCTGTCTGACGGTGAGCGTTGGGGGGGCGGCGACGCGTAGCGTGGTGCGGCACAGCGAGGGGATGACAGGCGACCTGTCTCGTGCAGAGGAGGTTTCAAGATATTCTATTCCAGGAGACTTTGCAGCAAGTCCCCTGCAGGGGACTAATTTTTTTGGTTTTGCCATGAACATTGCATGGGTAACGCGGAGGACTACAACATTCCTGTAACAATGCAACATTCATGAGTGAAGATGGGCATACGGATGCATATGGGTTTGCTTGACCCAGGACCTGTGGGATTGACCTTTGCACTCAGGAGCCCCGAAAAACGGGGGTAGGTCCTGACCTGAGGGTTCCATTTTTCTGGGCACATGGCACCTGCAACCTTGAGCGATGCCCTTTTCTTGCTGGTTGTTTCAGCCCTGGTTTCTGGGCCAGAACGGGGCTGGAGCCTACTGGTAGCCCCAATCTTCTTCACGCAGGACGGCAGGTGAAGGTAAAGCCGGCGAATGTGGAGCTGGTGGCTGAGGCTGGGTCAAATAGTCGGAGGCTTCCAATGGTTTTGGCTAGCTGCTATTTGTATTTCTGGAAGTGCGTGTGCATTCAGAGAGGAAACATAGTTCAGGCTCGACTGTAATTGACCCAATTTAGCTACGGCAGGCGCCGGTGCCGAGTGATGAGGAGGCATTCAAGGATGAGGCCTAATGCGAGCGGAGATCCAGAGCGTTTGGATACTGCACTGTATTCTTGGAGAATCTCTTGGTTTGACATGCAGGTTGTTGAACTACCAGAAGTTGCGACGATTTGTAAAGCCAACCCCCTCGAAATCAAGGACAGGTTGTGCGTCACGTTCGTGTTTGGCTGTTCTCTTGGAGCGCAACTTTTCATATGTTTTGGAGCACTTCCTTGTTTTGAGTTGTCGCAAGTCTACTCTCACTCCACTCCGGTCTACGCGGCAAGGTTGCTGTGACTTGGTCCCATTTTGCCCGGTCCGCATCAGTCACGGGCGCCGTCTGAGGCCATGGCGAACGGTCCGAACGATGAAGGTCTGATGTTCGAAACCTCCGAGGAGAAGAGCCAACTGGAAGGGCAGGATATGGCAGGATATGGCAGGATGGAACAGTGAGCCTTGCATACCTTTGCCACATGTTGGTTTGCAATGGTTGCCAGATGTTGGTCTGTGACAGCAATGAAGATGACTCAGAAGTGGCCACTTCAACTGCGTCTTCTGAGGTCATCACCACTTTAGGAGTGCAAAGTCCACCAATTCCATGACTTCCACATCTAAATGCAAGTGGTTGCCAAGAGAGAGAGGGAGAGGGAGAGAGGTGCCAAGCTGCGAATCATTAATCATGTCCCTTTTTCTCCTGGGTGCCGCACATGGGTTCCTGGCTGCCCCCGAAAACGTCACCCACTAGGAGTCCGTGTCTGGATGTCATGAGTCGCAAATTGCTGCCTCAGGACGTGGAGGTTGTGCGGACCTTTGACGCGTTGGGCTTGAAAGAGAACTTGCTTCGAGGTGTTTATGCATATGGTCACTTGGCCTCCCCGAGATGGATCAAGACACGAAACACCATGAAACCCTTGCATGTCCATCAGCTTGTGCAGTCTATGAGGCCTCATTGAGCTTGCTAGTATGCACGTTGCGTCCCCGATGATGCGAGTGTCCCACCGCAGTCATTGAGGTTTCGAACGACCATCTGCAGTGCAGCAGCGTGCCATTCTTCCCATCCTGAAGGGTCGAGATGTCATTGTACAATCACAGAGTGGAACAGGACAGGTGTGGCAGACATGATGAAGACCGACCGTGCCGGACTTACGCTTGGATCATCTTGGGTCTTTCTACAATGCTTGTGCATCCCTCCAGTTTCGGACATGGCTACAGGGACATGTGTGCAAGATGAAGAATGAAGGGCCATAAGAAGATGATAGATGATGATTGCAGAAAGAAGGCGGCGGTGCTGGTTGCTGCCTTTCGCCTTTCTTAGCACTTTGTTCCAACATTCTCAAACATGGTGCCAACCAAGCCAACCCGTTCAAACAGTCCTCAAGACATGCCACGCATTGGCTCTCTTGGTCGCTCAGACCTGTTGGGGACCACCATTTCCAGCATGTCCCATGTGGATTTATGCGACGCCGTGTGCTTCCTCGTTGGCCAGGAAAGACTTTGGTCTTTTGCTTGGCTGCCCTGCAGCATGTTGACACCACTTCCCGCGAGCCACAGGCCGTTTGGCGAGTCCCACCCGCCGTTTTCGTGGGTGAGGTCAGTGGTCACTGGTTTTAGGGAATGGTTGAACTACTGTATCCGTTTGATACTTATTATACGTATCGTTGGGTGTCAGGCGAACGAAGATCCTCAGTTTTGTTGGTGATCGAAGAATGTACTAATACGTACTCCAAGATGTGAAAGTCGATGCGTTTGGATAAATTGTGCGTCCCAGCTTGGGGAAAGATTTTTGGAAGTCGATGCAAAGTTGCGTCCTGCTGGTGTTTAGCAGATAGACCTTTTCTCAGAAGATGACTTTTCCATGCACATAGTGCACACCAGAAATCCAATAAAGCCGCCGCTAGGTTGCAAACTGGTTGTGACAAAGCGAGCGCTGTTGGTGTTGTTACTTCAAGTAGAGGAAGTGGTACCTGTGTGTGCTTTGCAGCCTGGGTTTGTGCGCATTGAAGCCTGCTGCTACTGCTGCTGCCTGGCTGCTGCTTGTTTGCTGCTTGTCTGCTGCGGCTGCTGCTGCAGCAGCTGCTGCTGCTTGTCTGTTGCTGCTGCTGCTTGTCTGTTGCTGCTGCTGCTTGTTTGTTGCTGCTGCTGCTTGTCTGTTGCTGCTGCTGCTTGTCTGCTGCTGCTGCTGCTTGTCTGCTGCTGCTGCTTGTCTGCTGCTGCTGCTGCTCGTCTGCTGCTTGGCTGCTGCTTGTCTGCTGCAGCTGCTGCTTGTCTGCTGCTGCTTGTCTGCTGCTTGTCTGCTGCAGCTGCTGCTGCCTGGCTGCTGCTGCTTGTCTGCTGCTTCTTGTCTGCTGCTGCTGCTGCTGCCTGGCTGCTGCTGCCTGGCTGCTGCTTGTTTGCTGCTTGTCCGCTGCGGCTGCTGCTGCTGCTGCTGCTGCTTGTCTGTTGCTGCTGCTGCTTGTTTGTTGCTGCTGCTGCTTGTCTGTTGCCTTACTGCTGCTTGTCTGCTGCTGCTGCTGCTTGTCTGCTGCAGCTGCTTCTTGTCTGCTGCTTCTTGTCTGCTGCTTCTTGTTTGCTGCTGCTGCTTGGCTGCTGCTTGGCTGCTTGGCTGCTGCTGCTTGTCTTTGGCTGCTGCTTGGCTGCATCAAAAGAGTGGAGACATGTCATGGCGGAGCTGTGGCGGATGTACTTTGGTACCTCGTCCGCCACCTCGTCCGGTACCTCGTCCAAGCCACCCCTTCGTTTCCTGCTCTCCAATGGCTGCAGACCTATATATATATGGCAAGCACAGGTCTTTGCAGTACATGGCTCAGCCATCGAAGGCAGCTGCATAGGAAAGGGAACATTGCAAAATCCATTTGATGGTCGTGGCTTGACCGTTTGCTTACTTGAGCATGCATGTGTCTTGAACCCTTTTTTTACCACAGCAGCAGCAGCAGCAGATTCAGGATTCCTTGCCGCAGCCTGATTTAGATCTTTCAGGCCGCGGCAAGGAATCCTGAATCAGGCTGCTGCCACAAATCCTCGACAGAGTCGGTTGCTGTGGTTGTGTAGGGATTCAAGACACATGCTCAAGTCAGCCAATGATCAAACCACAACCATCACGAAGCCACACTGGAGCATGCACATGGATTAGTATCAGTGCTTTGGGGAACCGTCACTTGGTGGAGTGGATCATACGGCGTCCCATGGTGAACTCAGTCAAGAAACATACCAATTCCTTCGTTTCCTGGTCATTGTTGGATGTGCGTCCACATGCTGGAATACAGTTTTCTGAGGCGTTCAAGTAAGATTAAACGATAGAAACAAACATAGTTTTATCGCTGCGTCCTGATGGTGATCTACATGTTTTTGCATTGACTTGTTTGACTTCCTGAATGCGCGGCGTCTCATGTGGAACTGGCGTGGTTTCTGAAATTGCTTTGACTTCTGCGGGCCGGTGTAATAATCGTTTCTTAGTAATTCTAACGAGGACGGCTATCAATGCAAGGAATGCCAGTTGTACCCCCCCTGACCTGACCGCTGATCGTACGCCGTACGCTACAAGCTATGCCAGCACTAAAGGCGCTCCTTTTGTCGCCGGCACGAGAGCTGGCAGAGCAGAGTCAGAAGCTTTGCTTGGCCCTGGGTGTCTCGCCACAAGCAATGTGTGGATCGACTCTGTGATTGTTTGTGACTTTAGATATGTACAGAGAGAGTCGCCTTTATAGACCAACATGCTTTGACATCATAGCATCGCCCCGTGGAGGCATGTGTTGCTTCTGCGATGCGGTCGTTTTTCTTTCTGCAATCATTTGTTTGCGAGAAAAGGCCTGCTGGCCATTCATACATTCAGTATAACGCACACACACGGCAAACCTTAAAACAAAACCCAACATTGGTTTCTTGATATTGAAGGCAGAGACGTTACGGAAGAGTAGGGCACAGAGACACGCAATAACAGCAAAAATAGACACGTTCATGTAATGTAGTGTAGCGATGGGGCAGGGGTTCCAGTCATGAACAAAGTGACTGATTCATGAATTGGCGAATGCCCTTGAAGCATGCGCTCAGGTGATTACCTGAATGTCCAAGTGCACGCGTGCATTGGTGGCACGCGCGTCTCAGATGACATCCACACCTTTGATGCAGGTGTGCAGATCGTTTCTGGAACTCCTGGCCGAGTCTTCCACATGATTCAGCGGCTTGGCTGGCATCACTGCTACGCAAATACCAAACATGGTCGACTTGGCCATCTATTTAGATCTTGAAGTTTGGTTGAGGCATGTTGAGCCTCGGGTTGGATACCATTGCATGGCATGTGCAAGTTCACCTTCTTTTGCATCCAGGCAGCGGCATTTGAGCACCCGTCACATCAAGATGCTGGCACTGGACGAAGCAGATGAATTGCTCAATAGGCAGTTGGTGGCAGGGCGAGACTCAGCGTTGTTCCGTGTTGGGCTGACTGACTGTACGGGAAAATGTACTTAGTGACGTAGTTTGTTCAATTTGTATGCGTCATTCATTCTGAATCGTGGCTGGCCGCATATCATTCACTTGTGCGGCGATGGAGTCTAGAGTCTAGGATGGTTTCATTAACACTGGTTGATGTAGTCTTCAATGATTAAATTTGGTGCACTTGGCACGTTGCAGTCGGAGTTGTTGAGGCTCTTCGTTGACGAACCCAACCATGTGCTGATTCATTCAGCGGGAGACCATGCCGCCATCATGCATGATGATGCATGTTTCAGGATCTTTGTTCATCTTGACCACCTCGCAATGTTTCCTTCAACCACTCAGCGGTGCCGGATGCCACCCGCCATTCTGCGCAGGGGGTTTAAGGGGCAGGTGTTCGACGTCTACAGATACTTGCCACCATCCACTCAGGCCTCGAAGGGCTGGCCGCCCGGGCGTTTTCGGTACAGTTTGCAGTTGGGCGACGAACATTTAAGCTGTTCATTGGTGTTTCCTTTGGGCTCTAAGCGAGACACAGTACCACTGGTGACAACTGGTGAACACTCTGGTGAACCTATGCTTTTGTATGGCAAGTGCCAGTCAGTATGGAGGCACTGGTGTTTGAGCTAAATGAGCGCAACATAATGAAGATCTTGATTCTAAAGCAGTTGCGGCTTCAGGTTGTGCTGCTATCTGCAACAATGCCGTCCCTGGGCTGTATTCAGTCACTTTGGACACAAGACGCATCAAGATGCACTCTCATGAAAAACATGTTCCCCGCTTAATTTTAACAAGGGGAAATCACTACTAAACATTGAGTTATTCTATTTCCAGTTAATCCCATCAGGTGAAGACTACTGCAACGCGCTTTCACTTGCAACATCAGAGCGCCTCAGCACCAAGGCATGAGGTTCTGGAGATGACACACAAGTTCATGCTTCCTGGCAGGTTTCGTTTGGTGCGAAACTTCCTTACGCACACAGAGGCTCCCCATCAGAAGCTTTTTGCGTCACACCTGAAAGTCTCCAGGAGCATAGACAGTACAGACACCACAGTAATGCGTAGCATTGGCAGGAAATATCCAGAGGGAATCCTAGATTTGTTGGCATTTTCAAGCATGTGTGGCGGCAGGACCTCGAGCCATCCTAAAGGTTCCATCCGCATTGGATTGGATTAAAGCTAAAACCAGCTATCTAAAACCATCAGCCTGCCGGTTTGGGCTTTGCAAGGTCTTTCTAATTTGATCATATTTGACCTGTTTGATTCTGTTCCTCCTCAGGAGGAAAAACAGTCGCTCTGAAGCCCTGTGGCGCCTGTGGGAGGGAGCCCTGTGGGACGGGCCTACGATTGTCATCAACCAGACACAGCTGCACCTGAGGAACAATCCTTTCCGCGGCCTGGTGAAGCGCGATGAGCAGCTCGGTGGGTTGAAATGGACATTTTTGGGTTGCCTGAAGACAATGGCCTTGGGGGCAAGGCAGGGTGCTCGAAAAGCACCAAGAACATGAACACATATTATGAACACCACATCCTGCAGCTTGGCGGCGGTGTTTGAAGGGATCAAGCAGTTCTGCTAGATGCTCGGGGCTGCTCGGGTTAACTTGTCCCGAGTGGCAAGAACCTGTGCCAGATAAGGCAGATAAGGTGTGGCCCTGGGAGAAACTTGATTGGGTTACTTTTATGCATGTATCATGTATGTTGTTGTTTATCATAGGTTGAGAGTTCTACCAAATCGCAATGATGATTCTTTCCGAGATTCCATTTTGGTTTCATATTTGCTGTGCTCGGCAGCCATTTGGTTGAAAGAAAGCACCCGACAGCTTGGCCACGTATTATATATACTTATATACATACGTATATATATATATACACCTTCTAAGAAGAGAAAACTCGATCCATTTTTTGTGTCTCCTCGCTCGCTTGCTTTCTTGTTGCTCGCTTGCCTTCTTTGGACTTGCATGCGGTTTGGGCTTGGCATGTCCAGTGGAATGGAGAGGCTTCCACTGTAGTTCCACTTGGAACACGTCCATATCTGGGCATTGCACGCCCTGGGCTTTCAGGTTGACGCTTGAACACATCAAGCAGTTCTTCGTTGCAGTGGAGCGAGAACAGCCGCTTGGATCCTTTGAGTATTTCAATGTGTGTTTGACGTGAAAGCACACTGCTATCTTGTTAAAGGATATGCCTGCTGCATGTCGCTGCGCTGGGCATTAAGGTGGAAGTTCGACACCTTGTGCGACTTGCACCTTGGTGCAGATATCCTTTGGCTTCATCAACCAAGGATGAGGTGGGTTCAGGCCGTTATTATTTGGTATAGATTTTTGGCGATGGACAACTGTTTGTGCAGAGTACAGGGTATGCGCGGCATAGACCAGTTCCAAGTAGCAATAGTATTAGACCATAGACTTCTGTTGGTGGACAGTGTTTTGGTTCCACGAAGATTCTGGCCGCTTAACTAAGGTACGATACTCTCACCATCACACAGGTGGGCCCTTCCTCAATGCTCTAGCCAGGGCACCGCATCTACGTCAGTACAAAAGTTGAAGAGACGGATGCAACATGGCCAGATTCACAATCACTAAACACAAAGATCGCCTCATGTCATTGAGTGAGGGGAAGTTGGCTCTAGATGCACCAGCCAGGGCGGCATCAACTGTATGTCAGTTGTAATTTTGAAGAGGCGGATGCGACATTGCCAGATTCACGTAGACGTAGACTGAACGGACAGATCAACCTCCTGCCATTTATACATAGTGCTGGGAATTTTGTTTTCCACAGCCTTAGATTCGACAAATGCAGGCGGTGATTTTCTGCAACACCAAGCACAAGGCGCAAGAGTTGGTACGAGTCAGCCATTTGCAGTCACACTTGGATTCAGTTCCTTAAACCTTGAGATGAAGATGACTTCAACGGGTTCGATTGTTTAAGCTCACTGAATTGCATGCAAGCTCACTGAATTGGATGGGCGTGCAGACTGACAGGCCTGGAATACAGGGAGGAATGAGATACTATTATTTCCATTGGGGAAGACTGGATGCCCCAAATCCCTAACCCTGCCTGCCTCGACCAGCCAGCTCAGCTGATCTGAGAGGTGGACTGGTTGAGCCAAAAGATGCGCGACGCCAACTTCAAAGTCGCTTGGATCAGATTCATTGAGAGGGTCAGTGAGGGCCAGATAAGGCCCGATGTGTTCATGAATTATATTGAGTTGGTTCGGTCAGTGAGGGCCACCGTGTTGATGTGTTGATGAACCGTTTGTTGATGAGTCCATCACGCCACATCCAGGTGGCGTCCATCCACGGTGACATGCCTCAAAAGGAGCGCGATGCCATCAGGCAGCAGCGCCCTGGCCAAAGAAGGGGCTGAATTCACCTGAGAGAGGAAGGCTCATGAAGTCACCGGATGATTCTCAAGTATTGGATAGTTAGAACATGCTGGACGATCCAAAGATCGCCCCAACTTCTTCACCGGTGCACACGTTGGCTTCCTGGAGCTCCCTGTCCTTGAGGTTCCGCTCTGGCACCAACCGAGTCTTGATCACCACCGACTCGTGCGGCCGCAGCGTGCTGGCGCAGGCCAAGGCCGGCATGGGCGGGGTCGGCCAGTCTCGGTGTGCAGAGCTGGTCCACGGAGTGTAGTTGCAACTCGCCAAAGCCCAGATTGGATCAACATCTGGCGTGACTTTGCTTTGGTTTGGGATGGTTTTGGTGTGATCCACACCGAGACCGTGGGGAGGAACTGAGTATGGATGAGTGAGGAGTGTCGAAGAATGACTCCTTCCTAACACTAATTATATAGTCAGCACTACAGTCACAAGTTGTCAGCATGATCGTCACTAGTTGCCAGTTGTTCCCTCATGCATCGATTTTGGGGAGTTGATTCAAAGCATTTGCGATTACACAAAAACACACAAAAACTACTATAAGTTGCTAACTGGTCACCCGCTGAGGACTCCACCGTGACATCTCCGACTCCTTTCCTCTTTGGGTACTCCACCCACTGGCGGTGGTTGCGTGGTTGCCTTGACACCAGTTTATATAAGCGCCTCCATCCGCCAAGTGGTGACTCAGGCAAGAGCATCCAGCAAAATGGATGCTGGCTAGAACCTGTGTCTCTCGTTCACACAGGTCATTCCTATTTCCTGGGTGGAACAGCGCGACCTACATCATGTATCTATACAGTTTGGCAATCGTTTTGATCAGATGGAAAAGTTGTCCTCTTATCACAGGCGCTCCAGGCAATGAAGGTCAATGACCAGTGCCCAGGAGGAAACCCCGTCCACCAACACTTTAACTCCATCCAATTATCCAAGACACCTGCTGAAAGCGTCGCAACATCCCAGACGCAAGGTGTCCCTGGTGATCTGTTACGACCTGCCCAACAACCGAGAGCTCTACATCCACCGCATCGGCCGTTTCGGACGAAAAGGTGTGGCCATCAACTTCGTGAAGACGCCTGGCACAGCTGGACATTGGTGGGACTCATCAGCTAATTCCCCAGGCCTGCTGTAGGAGTGGCGGACATCAGCGCAAGGATCAGGACAAACAGCAGGAGGAGAATTGTACACGTTTTACAGATTTGCATGTCAAGGCCTGTCAAGGGATTGAACTGTGAGTAACTCCCCACCGTTTTGGCAGTTGAGCGCCTTTGTGAGGCAGCGGAGAGCCATGCTCGGAGAGAGAGGGAGAGAGAGTACAACCCTGTCAGTTCATGTGTGCCGCTAATGCCATGAAATGCTTTGACTGACGGCAACACAATCAGGGCATTGGATGGCACTGCTTCGGGGATCGTACGAAGGCACTAAGGGCTCAAAAAAAGCAATAACATCCCGACAGAGAGAGGACTTCTGCAGCAAGAAGTGCATTCGGTTTTTGGCCCATGAGTAGAGCCAGTCTCACTTGATCCGACTTGCAAGTTCCTGCTTTCCACCCGTAAGGAATGATGACATTCGTATTTTGCGCGATATTGAGCAGCCGCTTGGTCTTGAGTGAGACGGGAGAGGTCCCAGGGCGAGCCAGGTGAGCTCACGCTTGGCCTCGTGAGGTTTTACTCCATTCAGATCGACGAGATGCCCATGAATGTTGCAGAAATTATTTAAACTCGAACCGTGCAGAAACAGGCAGGATGAAAGCTTCATTGATGTTGCACATGCATGTTAGGTGAAGCAACAGGCGTTTTCACACAGTGTTTTTGAAATATTTAGCCGAACGCGCAGTTGTAGATTGGTGTGCTGAAGCAGAGAGGCTCTCCAAGCAAGAGACAACATAAATCAACACCAAGTGGTTGGGTGGTCTCATAAATATTCATCCACCTTCTAACGCCTAACTAGTACACCTCGTCTCAACTAAAAGTTTTGTCATGCTTTGTGCAAATCTATGGAGCTGCCTAGCTGCTAGGCTTGGAAAGGCGGTGTGTCCGCATTGGCGTCCTGCCAGTCTTCTGACTTGGCCGAAGCTGCAAAGCACCGGCTCGAAGTGTGGCAAAATGGTGAGAGGGTGCTTCCCAGTGGCCTTCTGCGAAGATGCGGGTCCGGAGGGGAAGATGTTCGGCCTTGGCTTGGATTTGGGGTTCGCCTTGGCCCATGCGGTCCGGGGGCCCCTCCTGGTTCACAGTGCAGTCCAGCTTTCCCCAGTTTTTTTTTTCAGGTGATGGGAGCAATTGGTGCTTGGGGCCAAGCTTACCCTATTGCACCATGACGACATTTATTCATAGGTTGCGGACTTGAGAGGAGTTCTTCACCAGACTCATAGGCCCACAGCATCCCACAGCCCTTTTGAGAATCTTTTTGAAGTTCATAGGTCCTTCGCTGAAGACCCTTATTATTGTCAATAGGCCCACACTTCGGAAGCATTGCTACTTCGAGACCCGATCTTCGCCGCTTCTGTCCACAGCGACAAACGCCCTGGTCACACGAAGCCTTTGCATCCGTGCCTTGACAGAAAGGTTTTGCAGTTGAGCCATTGAAACAGTTAATGAGGCCTCCCAGATCTTTTGGTCTGACATAGCGCCTCGAAGTCAAGAACAGGTCATCAGTTGCGACATGAGATGACATGAGTGTGCAGTGTGTGGCTGGCATTTTTTCTCGCACTTGGCTTTGGTGCGGGGCAACCGGGTCCCGCGCTGCTCGACTCGGTCCGTGTCAGTCACGGGCGCCCAGCGCCGTTTGAGGCCATGTCGAAAGGTCCCAACGATGAAGGTCTGATTTTCGAAACCTCCGAGGAGAAGAGAAGAGCTGGGAGGGCAGGAAGTGGTCGAAAAAAGGGAGCTTCTAATTGCTCATCATGGTGGTCGCAAGTGTTTTGATGGGACACCGGACGTGCATGAGTTTTATGGTTGTTTTTTTGTTGTCTGTGGAAGTTGAATCGGATACTAAAAGTGCTGTATGCAATGAACGATGCATGTACTTTGGTGTGTTACCTTGCTAGCAGACAGAGGCCAAGCCATTCCATGGTTTCCACATCTCCCGCCATGCATACAAATGGTTGCCAGACAAGGAATAAGAGCCAGGGGGGAGGGCGGGAGGTGCTACGCCTGCTACGCGTGTTTGGGTCATGAGTCAACATTGCTGCCTCAGGACGTGGAGGTTTTGCCGACATTCGATGCGTTGGGCTTGAAAGAGGACTTGCTTCGAGGCGTTTATGCATATGGTCACTTGGCTAGTCATCACTTCTGGCCCCTCCCAGAAGTGAATCAAAACACGACACCACTATGAAACCCTTACATGCTCATCATGTTAGTGCAGTCTATGGCATAGTTGTTTGGGGGCCTCATTGAGGTTGCTAGTATGCACGTTGCGTCCCCGATGATGTGAGTGTCCCCCCGCAGTCATTGAGGTTTCGAACGACCATCTGCAGTGCAGCAGCGTGCCATTCTTCCCATCCTGAAGGGTCGAGACGTCATTGTACAATCACAGAGTGGAACAGGACAGGTGTGGCAGACATGATGAAGACCGACCGTGCCGGACTTACGCTTGGATTGTTCATGCTTGTGCCCCCTGGCTATGTGGATATCCCCCAGCAAACCTGAGAATTGACCGGTGCAAGATCATTTTCCTCTACAACCAAAATGGTTTTGGGGTTCCATGTTAATCTGCAAGTGAGTACGTGCGCAATGAGTCGCAAGAGGGTTGCAGATTACGTTTGGTTCTCTTGTGTTTGCTTGTCCCGTGTGCACTGTGCACTTTCAAAACATTGTTGAATTCTCAAACACAATATGCCCACTCTATAGCTATAGCCAACCCAGCGCTTAGTCATAGTCCTCGGCTCTTTAAATCACATCTTAAGAGTTGCCAAATATAGGCAGTTCGTTCGCTCAGAGTGATGACACCATTCCGAACCATTCCCCTAACCCAGCTTGGGAAGACCGTTCCCGTCGTTTTTTTGGCGACGCCGGACGACGTGCTCGTTGGCCAGGAAAGACTTGTGTCTTTTGCTTGGGCGCCCTGCAGAGTGTTGACACCACTTCCCGCGAGCCACAGGCCGTTTGGCGAGCCCCGCCATTTTCATGGGTGAGGTCAGTGGTCACGGTTTGATTATCAAGCTGGTCAAGGGAATGGTTGAGCTGTCCTATTAAACGCTTAATCTACCTGATGGTCATTTTTTCAACCCTTTTGATTCTTATGACTTATGCTTATGCATGCTTATGCTTAATTATGTGTGGTTTCGTGCCTGAACGATCATCCTTAATTGTTCCTTTGTGATCAAAGATGTAATAGGCACGGAGATGTAAGGAGGAGGGCTGACAAATTAGTAGGTCATGGGTGGCTGAGAGCTGTTGATTGTCAACCCCAAGAGTTCAAACCACAAGCCATCGCAGCACGGGTGGGACGTGGCAGGCACTCTTTTTGTCGCCAACGCGAGAGCTGGCAGAGCAGAGTCAGAAGGTCTGCTTGGCCCTAGGTTTCTTGACCAGCAATGTGGATTGTTTCTAATAGCTTCTTGTTACTACTAGTAAGGCACCTGTTACTACTAGCGCGGCACTTGTTACTAGTAGCTTCTTGTTACTACTAGTAAGGCACCTGTTACTACTAGCGTGGCACTTGTT